GGGGGGGGCTGCCTGCCCAGAGAACCTTCCCCGTCGCTCGGCAGACCTCGAACCCATGGCCGCGCGGCGGGCTGTGGCCGCCCGTGGCCTCGGACTTCAACTGAAATACGCCCGTGGACGGACGCAGACTTCGCCGAAACTACAGTAATAATGATGATAATAATGATAATAATAATAATAATAATAATAAGTTATCCGGGATTTAGGGAAAAAATCGTGTCTACTTGTAGGTGTGACTGTATCCAGCAATCAAAACGTAACTAAGGAAGCAGTGAAACGTCTTAAATACAAGAGTTTGGAAATTGAGATCAGTGAAAAGCGGGGCGTAAAAGTACAAGTCGTAGTCATCGGAGCTCTGGGATTTGTTCTGCAAAATTTGTGTAAAAACGTGGATAAACTCCCAGGTCATACAAAAGATTGGGAAGTTCAAGTAATTGCTTTATTAGGAATAGCCCACATTTAACGTCACATTTAACTAGAACCATTAGGAACAGCCCACATTTAACATGAAACCTCAAAAACATTTTCAAAATTTTCTCAAAAATAATTCCAATTTTTTTTATCAAATTTTTCTTCGCGTAGCGTAAAGGACGCTTAAGAGTATGGTGCATGCCTCATGTTCGTTGAAACCCTAGATTTTTCGAAAATTGAAAAATGTTACATTTCAAAACTACAAAATTGAAGATAGAGATTTTTGCATCAAACAAAGTCTGTTGTAAAAAAATAATAATATCTTAAAAAACGTCGTGTACAATTTTTTTGAAAAATTAGTAGTTTTTGCGTTTTTCCGCCTGAAATTTTTGAAATTTCTAAACAAACAATTTCTCAAAAACCGCTGCATATTTTTTCTTTAATTTTTTCCCACAGATGTAAAAAAGAACGTTCAAAAGAATGGCGCGGGTCTAATTTTCGTTGAACTCTCTGAATTTTCGAAAAGTGCAAATTTAGAAATAATGCTAGAAAGTAAGCGATGTTGTAGCAGCCCTAGTTACGAATTTTTTACGTGGCGAAAATATGTTTGTTGAACAACATTAGTTTAAAAAGTATTAAAATGTTTATCTACCTTCACACATAACCTAACAATAGACGAATATTTTCGAAACACGCCGTTTTCTGGTCTATCGTTATTTATCAAAATCGTAATAACATCGGACTCAGAACTAGGACTGATCCATTAGTTTCTTAGTTAAAGGTAGATTTGCCCAATTTATAGACAATGTATCTCCTGAAAAGGCGACCCGGGTGGCCGAGATCGCTAAGGCAGAAGGGTCGTGACGATCTCGGGCCGAAAGATTTGAGTATGTTTTAATGTTTTGACGTTATGACATGTTTTAATGTTTTTGACGTTATATAAACAAACAAATAAATTTAGTACATTGACTTGCAAAGCTAAATTTTTGAAAAGGACACTGAAAAATATTCACCAGTTGATTTTATGATAAAGATTATATGAAAAATTATTTCTCACTAAACTATTGTACTAATTAATATCCAAGGTGTTTACACAATGAAAAAAAAATAAAAATAAAAAACCTTTAGGGTATGACTAAATATTTGTCTACAATATCTCATTTAATTAACTGGAGAAGTAGGTACCCACAGATCTTAACGCTTTTACAAAACAGTATTAAGATGTTAGTGTACAAGCAACAGCAATTTATGCATAACTTATCCTCGAACTTACCGAAATTGGCAAGAAATGGATTCAGGAAGACACAGGGAATTGCGGAAGGGGCTGAGACGGTGCTACATAAACATTTAACACAAAAACATTTGCGCACCATTAATTTAATAGAAGGGATACACAATGTGCGTAAGAAACAAACATTAGGAAAACAATACCATTCAAAAGAGAAGTCGTGTAAACATAAGCATTTTTTTCAAACTCCAAAAATGTTTTCACAATATTTGTCTAGGCATCCCATCAATAATATGTCCATCATAAGTCTCTAGATAAATATATTCATTAAAAACTATGCAGGTCCCATAATACTCTTCTTACAATATTTGTGAAGTAATCCAGCAAAAGCAAATTAATATAATTTGATTTAGCAGATTAAAAAACCTCTCATCTGAAACTTGGATGAATGATTCTTTACAGGTCCTAGGGAGACGCACTATAGCGCCTACCGATTCACCTTGACAAACACTCAAATCGGTTCAAGGATTGATTCTCGGATCACGTAATGCACAGTCATACACAATTTGAAAGTTCAACTGTCTTTTCTTGACTGCGTCATCTTCTTGAACCGAACAAAACTTCTGCCGATTGGAGTTGACATATATTTTGTGGAAGAGTTGACTAGCTTATATCTGTTGTTCGAGTTAGGTTTACATTGAAACAAATATTCTCTTCGTTTTTGTTGTAAGAAACGTCTTTCTTATAAGGAACTGTAAGGTATAATATACACAGAGGTAAGGAGATTGAGTCATAATGTTGGATACTATTTACGGTGCTTTGAAAAGTGGAAAACGCATCACTTATTTCACCAGCTCATTTAAACAGAATAAACTCGATTTTTGAATGCACATAACCTCACAATTACTAATGGGAAAAATCTGGGAAATTTGGTAAAGGATATTCTGCAAAAATGAGGATGTTCTGGGTTAACCATTAATAAATATAAAGACAGGACGAGGGCAACTGGACATAGCGAATCATCTGCCATGTGTGTTTAAAGGAAAACCAACAGAGTAACACTAAGTACGAGGGAAAAATAAAGTGGTTTCAGCAGCATAAAAGAATACACGTAAGACGAATAAAGCTGGAAAATTTTGGGCAGAGTCAGGAAGAAAAAATATAAGGGAATAAAAAAGACAACAGGAAACAAATAAGAGCAGAGGGTGAGAAAACGTAGCTGGCAAACGTGTTTATGATAGGCGAAGTACCGAAGTATACAATTTCCTTACAGTTCAACTTCAAAAATCCAGGCCTCTTTCTCAGTATTATCTCATGATTACTCACTATCAGAAAGATAATTTTTCTGGGAAAGGGTCATATAACACTCATTACTCCAAACTGAGATCATAGATGAGATATCGGACACATTTTGGTGAAGAAACTAACAAACAGCATTTGAACGTTTCGAATGATCTAGTACTTGAACACTTTGACTCCATATGTGTCGAGAAAACTCGGATGATGAAAAGTTTTTGTATTTAAATCACTGATTAGCCACTTAAATAAATTAGTCTTCTAGTTGACACGCACAAATAAGATATACCTAATAAGTGGTCAATTATTCTTGACGAAATGTTCTTGAACACTATCATTCCATCGATTCTTTCTTGAAATCGCGCGATAAAATTCTTCTGAGAGATGAAAAAGCTGCGTGAAATAAACAATATATGCACCAAGAAACATTTTCCACTGTTTAACATAGACCCGTGAGATGGCAGTTTTTGCATTCTCCTTTTGAAAAAAAACAAGAAAAAAAAACGGTATTGATAAATCTTCACGTTCCGGAACATTTTTTATAAGAGTAACCTCTGATATGGACTGGCACCAACATATCACATTATCATTACAACCATCACTAGTTATAGCTGTACGAGTGGAAACGGAATTCATGAACACGCCAGAAGTCATGAATCAGAACACAGTTACTTCAAATATTTTTTTCAGTCTCATGGTGTTTTAAATGGTGTGTCATAATTTCGATGTAGTCCATCATAATGCTACAATTCAACCCACGTTTGCATTTTAGTTATGCGTCGGTCTACTCAGCACATCCATTTTCTGTTCGTGAAGGCAGGATCAGCGCAACACACTTTACTCTTCTATGGCATTCTTGTTTTCCAAAAATAGAGGAGGACAGACAGGAGATTAGTTTTAGACATGTCTCAACTACGGCCGGTTGTACTTAGCGTACTCAGCGTCCATTGAAGCCCAGGCAGATGAAATGACAACGATTTAGAACTGAGAGACCGCGACATTCAGTTGATCCTATTGCAGACGTCAGTCAGTGGAAATTCACGTCCTTCATCAGCGAAACCGCATTACGTAGATAATGGACCTGCCATTGACACAGTTTCTGTAAGTTACACTAACCACACCTA